ACAATCACACACACACACTCACACATATACACCACACACACACACACACACACACACACACACACGTACACACAAACACACACAAATACACACACACACTCACACATACACAAGCGTGCACACGTACACACAGACACACACACACACACACACACACACACACACCACACACACACACACACACACACACACACACACACACACACACACACACACACACACACACACAAACACACGTCATACAACACACATGAACACATACATACCTTAGTATGTATTCATATATTATACTGTTGTGTGTGTCAGTATTTTACACGCACTTTTTACACATAGAGTGCTTTTCTTAAGATGGAATTCAAGTTAAAAAATACCGGCGCCGGTGGTGTAGCTTTGAGGGGAGAATTCTTATCGAGAATCTCCGTTTTTCTTGTTGGACACTATGGTCCTCTTGGCGTGGGCTGGCCCTGACAGTTAGGACGGAATCGCCCGCCTCCCAAATGATCTTAAGTACGTCGATGGGGACTTAAAACACTGAGAAAAAAACAACAACAACCAGACACACAAACAGACTAGCAAATACTAATGCAGAACAAAGATGGTATAAGTTGTCGTAAAAAACAACAACATCAGCCGTTAAAAAACAACAAGTAATGAAAAGTTAACGAGGAGATCCTTTCTCTAAGATGCCTGTTTGCTAAATATAACAAGCAACTCTTTACTGTCATAACAGATGTTGGTGAACAAAGAGGTGCAATGCGGACTTCGTAGGCCATAAAATATGATTACGTACAAGCTGAGGCTTTTAATTTTCATTAAATGTCAATCGTAAACTTATTCCGAATAATTGATAATATTGCTATTATCCAGTGGTTACCCTGCTGTAGTTCGGGTTCGGCTGCTGGCCGAAGTTGTGTGCATGAGAAGGGAACGTAATGCAAATGCTGCTCACTTTATCCTGGAGGGACTGTATGCATGGATAAGGCTGTGGACGGCGCTGGTGTGTTTAATTAAGTGCCTGTAAATAGCAGCCAATTCTCGATCATGATTTCAGGGTTGAAGAAAATAAGAGTGGGTGGGTACAGGACACGACGTGTAGTCCCCCCGCCCC